TACACCTACAAGCTTAACTTGTAGTGTCACCTCATTTTGTTTTGCCCTGGTTGCCTTAAGCACCAGTTTTACTTAATTTTGTTTTGCCCTGGTTGCCTTAAGCACCAGTTTTACTTAATTTTTGTTTGGCCCTGGTAGCCTTCAGCTACAGAGTGGTATTTTACTCGCAGAATATATATATTGTTTTTGTAGTTCGTAACTACCAAAATGGTTGTAAACCCAAGTGATCACTTCGGTATTATTTTTGGTATTTATTCTAAACACAAGTATAATCACTTATTGCGTTATTTTAAATTATATTTCAGTAATAAACCTTTAGTTATATCTATTTCGTGATTTTCTCTTTCTGCTTAAATCACGTGGCGCCTATGAACATCCCTTTATAACCCACACCCCTGAGCAACTATAGAGTCGGGCAGAGCCCTTAAAACTAGATATTACTTTAGATAGCGCCCACTGAAAAGTGAACCGTGACAATTTTAACGATATCAGATATCTTTGTTGAAAACAACTACCTATAGTTTGAAAACAAATACCTTTGCCAAACGAAATTACTCGCTCCTGTCAAATACAAAAACAAACTGTTTATTTTTAGTTAATTTGTATGGCCTGTAAGTAAAATATGAAATTATATTTAAAAGCAATAATAGTCAAGTCTGAGACATGCATGATCCAAAATAAAATAGGTACCCATATTATCACATAACTTTGTAGTTTTCAAACTACCTAGGTACACGAAATTTTAATTAAATCACTTTTACTTACCAACAAAACTGGGAAGGAAATGGATAAAAATATTTTCTTTCAAGAATTCTTCCATAATATAAAACATTAAGCACTTTACTGTAAACAAAACCATAACCGTTGATTGATAAACCACCTCCTTCACTCAACGCTCTATCTAATCTATGGAGTTCGTCCTGTCCTGTCGAGTGCAGGCTGAAAAGGCTTGCCGGGTAAGCGACTAGCGTCTAGCCCCAAGATACATACACCTTAAGATGGGATGGTGCGCATGTTGGGCGGAGCTTAAATACGTCACTTGATGAGTGTTTTTAAATCTTTAACGTGTTTTTTAATTATCTGCTGCTAAAATTCTTGTTTTGCGATGCTTTTGGATGTTAACTTGCTCTATTTTTTGTTTAACTTGTTGTTTTTGTTTTTGGTAAGGTTCGAATTACTTTTCAGTGTTCAAATTATTGTTATTGCGTTGTGTTCTGTTTGTTTATTATTGTTTTTGTGTTGCGTTAACTTGTTTTGTTTGTGTTTTAGATTGTGTAGTGCCATTTGCATTTATTAAAATGCGGTGTGGCATATTTGGATGCAATTCGGACAACCAGTCCAAGAAAAACCCATTAAATAAAAACATTAAATTTAATCGATTCCCGAAAAAGTTTTGTGGAAACAGTGTTTAAATGCCACAAAAATAATAGACAATATTAACGTTAAGACCGCTTCTGTTTCCTATAAACATTTTCTGGACAGTGACTATAAGTTTAATTTAAAACACCAACGCAAAACTACAGCCCTAAATGTTGAAGGACTGAAAGCATCTATTATCCATATTATAACACTTTCTTCAATATTAAGTTTAATAAAAACGCACTGTCTAGATATTTCTCTATTTTCTTTGATAATATTACTATTATTCGTGTATTCTCACGGCAACTACTCATCAAGTGACGTCATGCGCGGGACGAACCAAAACTCGTACACGGGAGCATCCAGCCCTGGTCTAGCCCCTGCACATAACTTTCCTTCCGCACATGCGTAGTACGACTTAGTTGAGACTTTTTGTACTGACGTGTAATGCTAACCTCCAAAATACTTGAGTTGAAGTATACCGTAAGGTAACTGGTGACGTGGGGTTAAAAAAGGTACCACTAATTTCTGATGTACAAAATTTAAATGTTTAGTTTTTTGGTTAAGAATTAACATAAATTAGGTCAAAATACTTGTTTGGAGCAATACAATCGAGAATATAAACATTTACGTAAAAATCGACAATATTGAATGTTTTTGCTTTATGTGTTGGTAAAATTAAACAAAATTAAAACAAAACAAATTTTATTCAGAACTATAAAATAAACTACATATTCGATAATATAAACATTAAAAATTAACAAAAAATAAATTCTTTCAACAAAACCACAATGGGTCAACTTTCAGTAATTTTGCTCCGAGCATGGTTCGCATATTTTTATTTGGCAGGTGGAACATATTGGTATACCACAAATTTTACATATAACATTTGAATTTTTTCAGCAACAGCTAGCGGTTTTTTTAATATGCTACTAATAGTCAGTCTTATATTTCGAGGCAGACTTTCATTTACATGCCTTCTGATTAGGTTAACGAAAATGTCCGCAAGTAATGGACTAAGAGAGTTACCCATAATTAAACCGTTACGGCTAGTATAAATTTTGTTGTTAAATTGGAAATAGTTTTGTTTTATGCAAATTTCTAAAGTACTTTTTTTTGATCTAACAGATTTTCTATTATATTGTAAGTTTCTAGTGGTGGCACGTTAGGAAATAAATGATGTCAACTGAGATTAATTTAGCATTGTCAGGTAGTTGGATATCTTTTATATTGTTAATTAGTTCGTATGAGTTTTTTTAAACTAAATTTTGGTGGAAGGAGGGGAATAAAATGATACTACTGGTCTGATTCGAAAATTGTACATTAAAGGTGGGCCCACGGGGGCTGGGATTCATTATGGTTAATTTGTAAATGTCTGTATTGCCATTTTTATAATATCTAACTTCTTCGTTAAATTTTTTAGTAGGGTCTTTAGGTAATATTGTGTCTAATGAAAGGAATTTTGTGTTTTTTCTATAAATAGTCAGTTTTATTAATGGCGATAACTGTTTGTCCTTTATCTGCTCTTGTAAAAATTATATTTTTACTTCTTTCCTTAATTGATTTGGCTGTGTTTATCAAAAGAATTCTTATGTTGCATAGTAAACTTGTTAGTAATTATTTCTGAGGCTATAAATTTAATATTTTTACTATTGCCGATTTTGTTTAAAGCTAAATCTATTTCTACTACTAAATATTTTAACTGTTTGTGTGTAATTTAAGTATGTATATTATGCCTAAGAATTTTTTGGCTACGCTACTGTTTATATACCGATCCTTTATTTAAAAGCAATACATAGGGAAAATACATTGTACAGTATACAGTACGAAGCGAAAATGTTCGCAGAAAATATTTGGACGAATTGAGACTGACATGCAGCTTAACAGCTGACAAACCATGCATCGAGTACATCATTGTCACAGAGAAAGGAAGAAGAACCATTGTTTATTGCGCCCCCGGTGGTTACGGGAATGAATTACGTGTATACCGGGGGTATTCTGTATTATCGATATACTTTTATATGGGTATGTTTAAAAATAAAATAATTTATTTTATGTAGTATATTTTATCTAGAAACAATAATTAGCCATTTTTAGGTAACACATACAAAACAAAAATAATGCATATAACATAATATTTAATAAATAAAATATAAATCCTCATAATTAAGGCCCGGATTTTAAATTCCCATAATGTATTAAATAACAAGTAAATACAAAAAAATATGATCTAGATTAGAACAAAAATAAAATAAAATACATTAAACTGAAAATACAATACATGTAGGTATAGCGGTTTAATATTCTTTGGTGAAAAAATAGGAATCATTGGTAGAACTAGACCCTACTTAATATTTTTCTTTTTTTATCTTATTTTATGAATATCATCACAATATTTTTTGATAAAATCCATTGCATATTATTTAAATTGCTTCTCTATATTTTTAGCATGATCTATGCAAGGTAACCACAAACAATCTACATTTTTACCAACAAAAAGATTTGTTGTTGATATAAATAATTGATAACCAAAGCTTGGTAATAAATAGTAAACTATATCATGGATCTTTGCAAGTGTGATGCTTACTGAGTGAATGTGTGATAAGGCTCAATATCGTCACTTAACATATCAGCCAAGCATTTCTTACTCCCAAGTAAATTAATTTGTTTTGTTAGAAATCTTATATATCATAGTTATCAGTTTGTTCACCTGCAGGTATAAGTATATCTTTAAAATCGCTGTTATAGATACAAAGATGCACATCGTCATAATTATCTTCGAGAAATGTAAATTAAGCTTTCATCATCTTCATCGCGATTTTTTCCTTTTTACTCGAAAATGGATAACAATTTAAGTTTGAATTTTCACCATTTAAACTTCCAATAGAAGAAAATGCATTATCTAAGGGATCTTGATTTAAGGTTCGAGTTCTTAAAAAACGAAATCCATTCCTCGAAAAGTTCCAATGTTGCTTTAGAGCCGTTTCACATGCGACTGATAAAGTCCTGACGATCAGTCCTGATAATACGGACTGACGGTCATGGCCATTGCTTCACATGCACCGTACAGTACGGAAATGTCTTTACTACGAGACGGTTCTCAGCGCCTTCGGAACTGCGCTGTTGCCGCTTTTTGCATAAAGAGAAGATTGCAACGCAAAAAAGTTAAAAATAAAAATCTAGATTATGGGTACACCCCATTAACATGGCAAGAAGTGTACACGGTGCATTTGTGACATTATACTCAACTTTGAGGGAAGATGAACGCAAGTTTTTTAACTATTTTCGCATGTCTACAAGATCCTTTGATGAGCTACACAGCGAACTAGAAAATCGATTAAAATTTGCTAATCACATACGAATATCTATCTTATCTGTGGAAAGGCTGTGTGTAGTTTTGAGGTAAGTATTTGGGTCCCCATCCCAGCTAAAACTGCAAAGTTATCGCGACCGGACTGTAAATACGTATTTTTAATCGTTAGAACCCAGTACTTAACCAAAGAATGGCTATTCCTTATTCTTTGACAACTGTGGTCAAACCATGCATGACGCTTATACCACAAGCACATTTAGCTAAATTAAAACGGATAATCAAATTGTGTTCTTTTTTTATTAGTAACCAAAATATATTTTCTAAAACATTAGTTAAGCATTTGTATATCATCGAGGTCTTCACTGTCCATGCCTATTAGCTGCGTTAGAGGGGGCGGGTGAGATTGAGTAGATGGTTGCGTTATATTAAATGATGCAGCAGATGAAGGCCTTGAGTGAGATACTGGTGATGGGGTGCAGCTTGAAGCATATGCAGCAGATGAAGGCCTTAAGCAGGATGCACTTGATTGGGAGTCAGTAGTATAATAGTTGGGATGAGGGTGAAAAGCTCCATACCCATAATTCATTGGTGGTCTGCTTGATTGGGAATTTATGTGTGCACGGGGATCACCCATTTGTGGCGGTAGTTGATGGTTTTCGGGTTGCTGAAAAAATGGACGAACTTTTTTAATGTCCATCATTATACGAAGCACTTCCGCACGAAACTGCAGCTTCTTATCCTCATCAAAACCTTTTAAAGTTGGCAATAGTGAAATTAAAAATGCTCTGTCAGGATCTTCTTCTTCCGTTGCTTTTTCATTACTTTTCTCTAGCAATGAAATCATTTTTTCACCCAATATGTCGTCCTGTCGCCGTTTCTTTCTTTCAAACCTTTTCCGCGTTTCAGGTGCATGAGCATCAGGTTCTTCTACTATTTTCTTGAATATGTGTTTCGTCTCCTGATAAGTCACTATTATCATGTGTAGTTCTAATTTCATCGTCCTCAACGCTATTTTGAAAGCTTGTTTCTGTATTATTTATATGTAAAACGCTATCGAGAAACCTTAAATTTTCGAAATACACATATTTCTTTATGCCTTTGGCAGCTTGTCCAGATTTGGTTTTATATACTTTATTACGATCTCTTCGGTATGCATCACGAGCTGTTCTCCACCTCTGTACAACAATTTTCACTGAAAATAAAAAAACAACCTGTACTTATAATAATTTACACCCTGCAGCTTGATTATTTTGTGGTACTGTCCATGTAAAGAGGTAATTGGGCTTTTGTTTCAGATATCTGGTAAGTGGAAACACATTTACAAACCTGCACTATTCATACAGATTAGGAATATCAACCATAAGTAGCATAGTGGAACTTGTATGTGACGCTATATGGGACATACTGAGACCGGAAGTTTTCCCTGAACCTACAAGAGAGAAGTGGCTGGAAATTGCATCGCATTTTGCCCGTTATGCTAACTTTCCTAACTGTATTGGGGCCGTTGATGGGAAACACAGAATAATCAAACCTATAAACAGTGGTTCTCTTTTTTTTAATTACAAAAAATTTTATTCGGTGGTTCTCTTGGCAATTTGCGATGCAAATTACTGTTTTACATATGTGTTTGTTAACAGCCAATTTTGGAAGAGATATCAGGAAAAATTGTTAAATCTTCCTGAAGATAGATATCTGCCAGGAACTGAGAAGCCAATGCCTTTTGTTATTGTTGGTGATGATGCTTTTAGTCTAGGTCCACATTTATTGCGTGCCTATGCCAGAAAGAATTTAACGCATAAGAAAAAAATATTTAATTATCGACTAACACGAGCTAGGCGTTACATTGAGTGTTCTTTTGGAATTCTCTCTAATAAATGGCGAATTTTTCACAGACCTCTCAATGTATCGCTTCGCCTGTCCAAGAAAATTATCCAATCCTGCTGTGCTTTACACAATTATGTATGCATTAGAGACGGTTATGCATTTCATCATACTCTTACTGTGAAAGGTTTTTCAGACATTGAACAGTGTATGGTAGAAACTAATAGGTCAGGATTTTCAGTAAGAGATGGTTTTGCAAATTATTTTACTAGTACAGAGGAGGAGGTACCTTGGCAAGACTCCAAAATATATTAGTTGTAATGATTTTAATATATCAATAAAGAAAATTATGTATGAGTAACCACAAATATATGTATGTTACCAAAAATATTTTTTTTACTTACAAGCCTCATTCTTTTTTGCTTCCGCTAAATTTTCGAAATCCGGAACCACTATTTCCGCTACTTCTTCGCATCCCTATTTTTGTAATTTTCATCCTCTGCATCCCAGATGCATCTTCTCTGTTCGATAATACTAATTAAAATTTCTGTATCAATGCGTAAACTGGTCATTTTGCAACACTGTTTCGCTGACAATACGCACCATATGAAATACTCCATATAACTAAAAGCCCTTAATAGTCCTGACGGTACGCAGTGCGCACGGGCTGTCCCGATGCCTGTGCCGACGAATCAGTCAACCGATGATACGCAGTGCATGTGAAAAGGTTCATTTAAACAATGGCCCCTAGTCGTCAGGACTGACCATCAGGACTGATCGTCAGGACTTTATCAGTCGCATGTGAAACGGCTCTTAATTGTTGTTAACCATCCTTGCTTGCAAGGCATTTATAGTATATTGTGTCTCAAGGGCAGAAAACTAGCTTTAGCAGCCCGCGGCTATTTTATTGTTGATAGCTAAGGGCTGCTAATGCGTTTTCTGAATGTGTGACACACACCTGTTTTTCGCCTAGCATCAAACAAATTATTTTTTTAAATTTTATTATTATAAACGGAATTTTATAAGAAACTTCAGTAACAATTTACGAATTTATTTATTGTTGCAATTAATGTTAATTATGCCTTGAGCACAATTGTGGATAGTAGCAGAATTTGAAGGCTTATTTCTACAGATTTTTGGCTTTTTGATCCTTTTTCCAGTTTTTAAATAATTCATAGCACTTTTCGTACCGTTGCAACGCATTGTCTTAACATTGCTAGCTTCCTCTTTTTCAAATCTGGTCAAGTATTCGTAAATTTTTCGTCACTGTCTGAGTTACCATTCATTTTCAATTTATTACAAAATTTAAATTAGGTTTATTGTTATTTTATACTTTTATTGTCCGTTTTTATTTTGATTTACACAAACGTCTGAAAATCTTAAATGCCAAAATGTTAAATGCCAAAATACATAAATGTCAGTCAAATGAGTCTAGATTGTGAAAAACTACAAAAATCAAGTTTAGCGGCCCTAGGGACGATAAGAGTTTAGCGACCCTAGAGACAATAAATATTATTTTCGGTCATATTTTTAGGTTTGATATGATTCATTTTTATATGTGCTGGGCGAAAAAATTTTTTTTAAGTTCCAAGTTCTTCCCAAAGTGCGTAGATGGTTACCGTGGCATTACAAAGTTCCTGTCAAACAACAATGAAGAATACCACACTTATGGACTGCCAGAAGAAAGGGAGTTGTGAAATTCCCATTAAATAATAATAATAAATTGTTGCAACGTTGGGGGCTTAAAGCCTTAAGGAAAATTCGTTGTTTTGGAGAATGGTTCTACTTGTTTTGAAAATATGCTTGAGAGACCCCTGTAAAAGCAAATAAAAACAAAAAATCTAAAACAATCAAAGGGAATACTTACAAGTGGTATGTTTCGATTAGGCTTCAACACTAAATTCTTAAACCAGGAGTCGAAATCGTTGAATAAATTGTTGCAACGCTGGGGGCTTGAAGCCTTAAGGAAAATTCGTTGTTTTGGAGAATGGTTGTACTTGTTTTGGAGAATGGTTGTACTTGTTTTGAAAATATGCTTGAGAGACCCCTGTAAAAGCAAATAAAAACAAAAAATCTAAAAAAAATCAAAGGGAATACTTACAACGTGGTATGTATCAATTAGGCTTCAACACTAAATCCTTACACCAGGAGTCAAAATCGTTAAATAAATTGTTGACGCGTTGGGGGCTTAAAGCCTTAAGGAAAATTTGTTGTTGTTTTGGAGAATGGTTGTACTTGTTTTGAAAATATGCTTGAGAGACCCCTGTAAAAGCAAATAAAAACAAAAAATCTAAAAACAATCAAAGGGAATACTTACAAGTGGTATGTTTCGATTAGGCTTCAACACTAAATCCTTACACCAGGAGTCGAAATCGTTGAATAAATTGTTGCAACGCTGGGGGCTTGAAGCCTTAAGGAAAATTCGTTGTTTTGGAGAATGAATGTACTTGTTTTGAAAATATGCTTGAGGGACCCCTGTAAAAGCAAATAAAAACAAAAAATCTAAAAACAATCAAAGGGAATACCTACAATGTGGTATGTCTCGATTAGGCTTCAACACTAAATCCTTACACCAGGAGTCAAAATCTTTGAATAAATTGTTGCAACGTTGGGGGCTTAAAGCCGTTGTTTTGGAGAATTGTTGTAGTTTTTCTAAAAACATGCTTGAGAGACCCCTATAAAAGCCAATAAAAATAAAAAATCTATAAACAATAAAGGAAATACTAACAATGTGGCATGTCTCAATTAGGCTGTAATACTGAACCCTTACACAAATAAACTTAAAGGAAAATCGTTGAAAACTAAAATTAAGCACAAGTTAAAATCGTTGTAAAGAAAGGATTTAGTTTTGAATAAAAACACGCCTAAAAAATAATTAAACACTTAACATTTAAGGGAATACATACGTTATAATGCTAATATAAACTACTCAGTTTAAAAGTTTCACTATTTTATTTAAAAATGACAATTGTTTCGCTATACAGTAGCATCTTCAGATTGTATACAAAGCGTGTGTAGGTCATCTTAGAATATGCTGGACTTCCGAGCGAGAGTCGGTCATGTGAGACCTTAGACTCTCAGCCCATCAAGTTAAAAATAAAATGAAAATAAGATTGTTTTTTTTTTTTTAGTTATAGTGAACATGAAAATTTGAGTGCGTTTTGAGAAATGAAAAGGACGCCAGCGACCAAATACATATTCTCTAGCAGGGGAGAGCACGTGCACCAACTATAATTAGATTGGGCACGGGACAGTGTCTGCATAAAGTTAAAGTATAAATATTTTTTAATTTTAGCTGTAAGAGAATTTTAATATAGAAAGTGCAGTGTGTTAGTATAGGACAGAAATGTGGCGGAACAAAAGGAACGCGCTTAAAATTAGATTTAGTGTTTTTAGTATAAAACATAGTCAGCTTCGTATAGAAGGTAATAACAGTGAGAGCTGAAGGCAGGTTAGTAGTTATTTTGGGAATTCTGTTTTATTTTGTTTCTTTATGTGTTTGTTTGTTTTCTTATTTTATTTTTTTTGATTATTTTTTTTTGTGTGTATAAAACAGATCTTTTCAACATATATATTATAAACAAAATAGTATAAGTAACAGAAAGTATATAAACAAAAGCATGTAAAACAAAAAGCAATAAGAAAAAAACAGAGTATAATTTATGTATAAACAATCAAAGGTTTTGTGAAACAAAGCATGCAGGCTCGATGCGTGTGAGATGACAATATGTGAAAAAAGCATGTGAAAGGAAAAAAGGAGCGTGTAAAACAAAATAGCATAAATTATATATCACAAAGAGTTATATAACACAATAAAAAGGTTACGCGAACAAAGCTTGTAAAAACAAAAAGCATGTAAAAAGCAAGAGGTGTGTAAAAACAAAAAGCGTGTAAAAAAAACAAGAAAGCCTGTAAAACAAAAAGTATAGAATTTGTGTTCTACTTACATTTATCTGAGTATTATGTGGTGACCCTCAATAGAGTTCTATTATAACAAACATTTATGAACAATTTGCAGGTTATGACTAGAGTTTGAGGTAGACTTGGGGAAGTTTAGCAGAGGACTGTCAGACCGAGACATGCCTACCCCGGGTCCACTGGTTCAAGGATAGCACCTCGTGCGCCCCTGTATTTGCGGCGATCTTCCGGAGCGTATTCCACACATGTGTTTGCCAATGGGTTTAGGTTTAATTCACACCTCTCTATTGTGGCTCTGGTTCTGGCTTTGAGGTAGTTATGCACCGGTTCCAGTTTTAGGTCTCTCCTGAGCTGGGTGTTTCTTATAAACCAGGGGGCTGAAGTGATTTTCCTTATATATTTATTTTGGATTATTTCCAACTTTGGTATATGTGATTTGGCTGCAGTGATCCACGCAGCTGCAGCATAAGAAATCATCGGTCTTATCATGGCAGTCCATAGGAGCTTTTTGTTCTTTAAGTTCAGCTTGCTGTTTTTACGTGTCAGTCCACTTAGTTGATTAATTCGTAACAGTGCTCTAGTTTTTATATTTTCCACATGTTCTTTCCAGATTAGTTTCCTGTCCAGCGTTACCCCCAAGTATTTGACGGAATTGGCCCAGGGAATAGTGGTACCTTCAAAGTTGATCGTTCTTTGTATGTTTCTGCCTCCTTTGGAAAAGGTGATGGCCTGATTTTTGGCGGGATTTATCTTCACCCGCCATCTGTCAGCCCACACCTCCATCTTATCCAGGACAAGCTGGATCCATTTTTGGATCTCAATGTCCCTTCTACTGGTGCCGCAGAAGGCCGTATCATCCGCGTAGAGGGCGTATTGGACCTGGTCGATTTTTGGGATGTCAGACATGTATATGTTAAAGAGGATTGGCCCAAGGACAGAGCCCTGGGGGACCCCTGCCCTTATTTTCCTGGTCGATGATGTTGCTCCCGAAATGCTGACACAAAAGTCCCTGTCATGTAGGTATGACGCTGTGATTCTGACAAGGTCGTTGTTTATGTCAGCATTTACCATCTTAGCGATAAGGCCCTTGTGACAGACCCTATCGAATGCTTTGGCAAGGTCCAATAGCACCATCCCAGTCTTCATCTTCTCATCAAATCCCTTGTTAATATTTTCCACTAACCTAAGCAGCTGGAGCTCAGTGGACAGTGATCTCCTGAACCCAAATTGTTCGTCCGGTAATGTGTTCTTATCTTCTAGTTCCTCCTCAATTCTCGCTTTAATGATGCTCTCTAGCAGCTTGGCAACTGAAGACAAGAGCGAGATAGGACGGTAATTTGAGGGGAAGACCGGACTTTCGCCATTTTTGGGGATCATAATGACGGCTGCACTCTTCCATGGGGAAGGGAAATGAGTAAGTTTGAGTGCGGCATTGAAGATGTTTGTCATTGATTTCAGGGTGTGGTCGGGAAGCAGTTTTAACGCCTTGTTGGGAATTTTATCTCCGCCAGGCTTAAGGCTCTTTATTTGTTCGGAGATTTCTAGCTTTGTCGATGGTCTAATATCCTGGTTAATGGGAAATGAGTAAGTTTGAGTGCGGCATTGAAGATGTTTGTCATTGATTTCAGGGTGTGGTCGGGAAGCAGTTTTAACGCCTTGTTGGGAATTTTATCTCCGCCAGGCTTAAGGCTCTTTATTTGTTCGGAGATTTCTAGCTTTGTCGATGGTCTAATATCCTGGTTAGCTTCAGAGTCCATTAGAAGGCGGTAGATTCTATGGACGGCCCTATCTTCCTCTTCATAATCTGCATATGACGGATTTGGGGTGAATTGTGATTCCAGCGTGTCTGCGAAAACTTGGGCCTTTTCCTCAGGCGAGTAGACTAACCCGCCTTGACCGTGGAGAGGATGCAGTTGTTTGCCATTTATGGATCCCAGGGTTTTTACTATCCTCCACTACTCCCTGGAGCCTACCTCCAGGTTTGACAGTTTGTCTTCCCAGCGCTCATTGTGGAAAGCAGGGAGGGAGTTCGCTTTTGAGGAGTCTGGCAAGCCGATTATAGTTTGCTTTATCCTGGGGGTTTAGGGTCCTTTGCGCCAGTTTCTTAGCCTGTCTCTTTTGTGCAATAATTCTTTTTATTCTAGTTGGGATGATATACGGGTTGCTCGATTGCACTTGTATGGTGGAGGTGGCTTTCTGAATGGCACTTTGGATAGCGGTTGTCAGGTGGGTGGCCCTCGTGTCCAGTTCGTTTGTATTGGAGGGGAGGGGAGATCACTGAGGTGTCTGTCATGAGCTCTCTTCTTAAGGCCGCCCAGTCAGTTCGGCTTGTCATATATGTGACTGTGTCATTGCGGATTCCTATACTTAGCAGTATCGGGTTGTGGTCAGAAGAGAGTTTATGCAAAGTGATCAAGGTGGTCTGATGGTGGAGATCCTTTGTTATAAAAATGTCGAGGACATCTGGTCTCGTTACGCCGTTACAGAACGTGGGAGCGTCCGGGCCAATGAAATCCCAGTAGTGCCTATTCCCGGTGTTGGCCAGCTGTCTGCCGTAGGCGTTTGTTATTCGCGAGTTCCAGAGTGGGTCTTTAGCGTTCAGGTCCCCACCTAAAATAACTGGAGCGTCGTCATCCATTACCAGGAGATAGTCTGCCTCATTATACTGTTGCCCTGGTGGATAGTATGCAGCGCACACTTTTATGCTGCCTGCAAAAGAGGTGTTTACCATAACGGGGCAGATTTCTAGTGTTTGTGTGACTGGTGCTGGGGCAGCACTATGATCAATGTCCGATTTTATGAATACGGCGACACCACCACCGTGATTTTTTTGCCTGTTGTTGTAGTAGCCAGTGAAGCCAGCTAGTTTTGGGGTATCGTCAATTTTTAACTTGGTCTCACATACGAGGATTATGTCAGCATTCATTTCGATGGCTAAGGCTTCAAGTTCTTGCTTTTTATTTTTCAAGCTGTTCGCATTCCAGCTGATTATGTTAAGTGATGCTGGTTTTCTGGAGCTATTCATTATAGTAGTAATTATCGAAAGTGACCTGATTTTGTTCCTGCGCTACAATTCTCTGTTCGAGTCCTTCCAATTTGTTCAATATTTGTTGCATGAGTCCTTGCATGTCGGGCATGGGGGTGGGATTGGATTGTGATTGTACTAACATTTGGTGCATATCGTTCTTAGGCCTACTTTTTGTAATGTTTGAGTAGGAGACTCCAGGTTTGACCGTATTGTTAATTGCAGTTTTTGTTTGTTTCTTGGCTGCATTGGGGTTTTTGGGACAAATTATAGCATTCGCAGTGTGGTCACCTCCACAATTTGCACAGGTGGGCTTTGCTTTTTTGTCCAAGGTGCAGTCTTTAGATGTGTGTTCTTTTCCACATTTGACGCACTTGTGCTTGGCTTTGCATCTTAGTTGGCCGTGACCAAATCTCTGGCAGCGATAGCATTGCGTTACTGAGTCGCTCCTTCTCAGTGCCTCTACTTTAACGCGCATACTGCAAAGATACTCTACCTCATAAATGTTGCTTTGCTCTTTGGGTAGCTTCACCAGAATGAGTGGCATAGGGGTTCGCTCGGGTCCTTTTTTCATCCTCACCACTAGTGTGTGGTTGTAGCCTAACTCTGAAAGCTCTTCCATGACCCCTTCAGTTTTTATTTCCACAGGAATCCCCCGAATTACAACTTGTAGTTGTTTTTCTTCGGGGAGAAGATAAGTGTGGAATTCTTCGTTGTTATTTTCCAGAAAAGCTGTGATTTTCCTGAAGCTATCAGAGGTCGTGGGGAAGAACTTTATCCCCTCTGCAGTATTGGTGGCTTTTGAATAAGGTAGGTTTTGGGCATCCAGTGTCCTGGCAATCATAGTCCACCTAGCTTTTTTCCTTAGCACTATGGGAGGTACTCTAGTGTTGGCAGGCTTCATTGTTTGGCTTTTAGTACCTTGTGGTATTTGTCTATTTTTATCCGTGGGATTGTTGCTAACGCCAACACTAGTGGATGGTTGGTTAATTTCAGGTGTAGGTGCTTTCAACACCGCCTCTTGGGGGTTAATAATAAAGGGTCTAAAGAGCAGAAACATATCAGCACACCTAATATCTATTATAAGTAGTTACCTGGAGGATAGACACCTACAAATTGGAGAAGACACGCTGAGGATTACCGGAGGGGTCCCGCAGGGAAGCGTCCTCGGACCGACCCTGTGGAATGTCCTGTACGACGGAGCCCTAAGGTTGGAGACGAACCACGGAGTAGAGACCATCGCTTATGCCGACGACTTGGTGGTAGTGGCGAGGGCCAAGGACGAGGCCCAACTGATGGAAATGATGAATGACGCCCTGGAGGAAATAGCCTGGTGGATGGAGCAGAACAAGCTTACGCTCGCCACCCACAAAACCGAAGCTATCCATATGGTAGGAAAAAAGAAACACAGGGACATCACCTTCCGGCTGCGAAATGACATAATCACCCCGAAGAACAACCTGAAGTACCTGGGGGTCTTCATGGACAAAAATCTAAACTACTCACAGCACATAAGGTATATATGCGGCAAAGCGGACGCAGCGGCGACGGCGCTCGGTCGCATACTGCCAAGGACTGGGGGAGCGAGTGAGACAAGGAGGAGACTCCTGGCAACAGTCACGGAGTCCATAATGCTATATGCCGTGCCCGTTTGGATAAATGCCATGAAGATCCAGAGAAACAGAGAGGCGTGCGGAAGAGTACAGAGGAAGATGGCCATAAGGATATGTAGAGGCTACAGGACCATATCAAGGGAGGCAGCTGGGGTGCTCGGCCGAGTAATACCCTTCGACCTGCTGGCGCAGGAGAGATGCGATGCCCACAGCAAAACCAAGGCAGAGAAAGATGAACTGCGGTGCACGACCATCGAAAAATGGCAGGCCAGATGGAACGCAAACACCAAAGACCTGTGGCTACACAAACTCCTGCCGGTCATTGGGACGTGGTACTACAGGAAGCACGGAGACATTGATGAGTATCTAACTCAGATATGCACCTCCCACGGATGCTTCCAAAAGTACCTGTATGGCATTAAAAAGGTGGACTCGCCAATGTGCAAATACTGTGGCGAGGAAGAGGACGATGCGGAGCACACTCTCTTCAGGTGCAAGAGATGGGAGGAGGTGAGAAGGACGCTGTATACGGCAATAGGCCTAAGAGTAACCCCTGACAACCTTCTCATGACCATGATTGCGGATGAAGACAGCTGGGAGCAAATCAGAAAGGTGATTGAAGTTATTATGAAACAAAAGGAAGAGGACGAAAAAACAGAACAAAGACAACAACGGCAACAACAACAGCCACAAAATCAACAACAGCAGCAACAACGACAGTAACAAAAAGGACCAACACCCCACGAAGTAATACTAACGTGGTTCCGTGGGGTGTAGAAGAACAGAGAGGGGTTTTAGCCGGTAAGAGTCCGGCACTACCTTGAGTGGGCACAAAAGGTGTCCATGAGGATTTCCCCTCTCCCCAAAAAAAAAAAAAAAAAAAAGGTGTAGGTGGTGTGTATTCTGTTTTTTTTTGGATTTACTGTTCGTTGCCACTTGATCTGGTGATCTTTTTTTGCTGTTGTTTTTGTTGGGCGTAGTAGGAGTAGACAGTTCTACGTCCTGGACTTCGTTTGTTTGCAGTGACGTCTCCATGCTAGATATTTGTTGGTTGGTGCTCTGATCTTTAGTAAGCAGTTTCATTACATTTTCGAGTTGTTTTTGCAAGCCATCAATTTGGTTGGACATTTTTTCTACTAGGTTAATGAGTCGATCATTTTCCTTTTTAAGCCTAAGTATCTCAGCATCTTTTTTACTTTTGTCCTTTGGCTCCTGGTCAGTTTTGTTGGTTTTTGGGAAAAGTTTCCCAATTTTTGCCAGGATTTCAGGAGAAATCCTGGTTTGGGCGGTTCCTGGGTCATCTGCCACTGTAGCATTGGTCTGTGGGGGGTCATCTTCTTGGACCATTATGGCCCTTCTCTTTGGCCGGGCTTTATTGGGGGTGTGGGGAATTTTTGCAGATTTTCCAAATATTTGGTCTAAAATGGCTGCTTCGTCAGTGGGCAGGGTAGGCATATCTAGGCCTTTGTCAGATTTTTTGGGGGTTGTGGGGGGTACATACATGTTAAAAAAAATTTGATGAAAATATAAAAATATTAAAAACAATGATAAAAACAGTCAGTGTCACTAAGCACAGTTAAAATGGTTTTTTAAAATGTTTAAAAAGTTCGTTAAAAAGCAAACAAAAATTTTCACAAAAAGTTAATAGTACTAATTTCACTTACAGGGTCCTGTAGATTCTTTCCTGCGATTTTTGAAAATTTCCCAGATTCTGGGAATTTTCAGAAATTTGGCAACCTCGCTTTGATTTGGCTGTCCTTTTCGGAAGTTTGGCAACGTCGCACTAGGCACTTGCACATAGGGCCGAAAACTAATTGTTGGAAAACGCACTTTCACGAATTTGCAAAGTCCGAAAATTGGAAAAATAGACATAACATTTCACAAATTTTTACAAATTTAAAATTAAAATTTATAAGTCAGACCGACGCTGTCGGACGCCTACTACAATTCAGCGTCCGCTAAACCACTATGCTTCAACTGTCGACTGCGAATCAAATGAATGATTGTATACAAACCAATATTAATTTTCTATTTATATAAATAATGGTTTAACCGGTAATATTTTTAATACTATATTGGGGGTAGATTAAATTAGCGTTATACAATAAAGAAACAATAATTATGGAAATGCCCTGTAATCTTTTTAGTTATATAACACTATACTTTTTGAATATATTAAAATAATTTTAATAGAGGGGGTCATTGAGAATAATATCAGTTTTCTTTAACTTGTTAATTTCCAAGGACTCCAATAAATTCAGTTTCATACCTTTGTTTTCTATATGTAAAATTTTAAAGTTAGTATTGAAATTATGATTGTCATTCATAAGATGGTTTGCAAAGGTGAAATCTGTTTTGTGGTTTATAAATGATTCGTTTATTCTAGTTTTAAAGCTACGACCTATACTGTCCTATACGTTTTAGGGCAATCTGCACAAGTTAATTGGTAAACTCCTGATTTAATATGTTTCCTTGTCTTATCTTTATTATTTTTAATGAAATTTCTTAAATTGTTGTTGGTTTTAAATGTGAATTTTATGTTGGTTTGGTTTAAAAAAGAACACATTTGTCTCCTATTAGTACCTAAGTATGTAAGAGTGTTGTATACATATATTAATAGGGTTCTTAGTTATTGGGAATATTAGGTTGATTGCTATTTTATGTATTTTTTTATTATAAATGTTATCAATTAATTATGGATTGTATCCATTATTTACAGCTATTTGTTTAATTAAATTTAGCTCGTATTTGAAATCTGTTTCAGATAATGGTACGTTTACGAGTTTGTGAATCATAGAATTAAAGGCTGCCATTTTGTGTGGGAACGGGTGTAATGAAGAATTATGTATAACTGTATCTGTGTGCCTGGGTTTGTGGAAAATGGATACCTTTGTTATTTTGGATAGTCATGACTAAGAAGTTAATTTGTTTATCTAATGTTGTAATGATATTATTTATAAAATTTAAGAAAATATTTAATTGTCTTTTAGTCCCTGTAAAGCATGTAAGTATGTCATCTACATATCGGTACCAATATAAGAAGTGTTGTATATGTGGATGTCATTAAATCGAAAATAATTTTGTTTTAAATGTTTAGTGTATCTAAAATGTCATATTTTTTATGACTGGATTAATTTTATTTTGATCTAAGAGATTATGTATCAAGTTGACTGTTTCTTGTGGGGGTACACTGGGAAATAAATTTGGCATTATCTGGTAAGGAAATATTTTTAATACATACGGGTCTGGATTAAGAATTAAGAATTAAATTTTTCACCAAGCGTTAAAATCGGTGATTTGTCAAAAAATAAAGATAGATAAAATGAAGAATATGATATAAACTGTTTTTTGTAGAGTAGTTCCAATTATATACCTATTTCTTTTCATATTTGTTGTGTTTTTATCTTGGGTGCTGTTCTACTTCGTAACTCTGGATAAGCAACAATAACACTTTTGTATCTGTTTTAAAGATCTTGTTTCATATTTTTCATATTTCATTGTTTATGAATTCCATTATTCCATTTTCTTTACCTTTTTCATTGTCACTATTATTACCCTGTGCTCTGTTTAAAAGTTGTGACATTCTTAATATTTCTCTGTTAACCAAAGGTTGTCTATAAATTTCTTTTTGTATTTTTTGGCATGGGTTATAGTTTGCAAGATCAGTTGCTTCTTCATCCTCCAAATTTAAAGTAATGCAGGTAGTTGCAATGTGTTTTCTTATCTCTGTTCCTCTTATTCTTTAAGGATATATCGCTCCACAGTCTATTAAAAATGTTCGCATTAATGTAAGCCCTTAAAAAATTTAATGGCTTGTTGCCTGAAACCCCAAATAAATTAGGGTTTTGTTCGCAAATTCCTACCAAACTTCTGACTTTTAACATTAAATTTAAACATTTTAGTTGGGATGCGTCTATTAAGACTAAAACAGTCCTATTGAGCTTTTCTTTTATGGCAAATCGCACATATTTTCCAGCCCTTTTTCTATCATTATGTGACGCTGTCTACCAGTACGAGGGGAAACGAGGAGCAAAAACGGTTGCGACCCGCCCTTGCTTGAGTCCAAGCCCGATAGTTATTTCGCTATCTAGCGAGCAAGTGTTTGAAAACGACAAAATGTAGACACAGACCTAAAGTCTAAGGGAACAGGAATTGATGAGGTACCCACCCTCAGTCGAAAAAAGCAAACCGCAGCTCTCTATCTCTTATCGTTTGGGAGTTAGACTTTGCCAACCCCCAAAATTAAGTCAACTTTGAGTACTCCAAGGCCAAACCTGATGAACCACGCTATCGAGTATGACATTTTTTAAAGAACAAAATCGTACCGATTTTCGTTTTCTACGCCCCAAAATCTATAGGTATGATTTTTTTCAGACAAAATTTTGTGTGAAGTGCTCTTAGATTGTCTCTTAATAATCGTTTTTGTTTTTTTAGTTTTCCCCGCACCACGATTTGCTTTTTTCCAGGAGTTAAGGTAGTCACGTCATCTCTACAGAAAAAATTTACTACCACATAATGGATATTGGATCGTCGTTTGCGCCGATTAACATTTTTGTTATCTTTTTTTTGTTTAATTTTTGCAAAACAGCCAATTTTCTTTTGAACGTTCGTTTGACATTTATATTTTCTTAAAATATCCCCCTGAACAGTGCTACTTACAATTTGTTTCGCCATTTCTGAAGAATTATTAGTATAATTTTCCTGTATTTGATTTACTAATGCATTGTGAATTACCAGTTGTCTTTTTACTCTCTCTGGCACCTTACACCCTTTGGTATCATTTGACATCTTAGTGAAGGGTGAATGATCCTCTTTCAGCTGGTTAGGCGCTGGATTTTCGTTTTGTTTTTTACTCTCTGATATTTCTTCTTGTATTTCTCTTTAGACTTTTTAATTTTTTCTAACTCTTTTTGAAGTTGTTGTATCTTTCGGTAAGAAGCGCTTTTTCTCTTGGCGACTCTTCGTCTACCAGCAACTCTATTGACTTTGACAATTTTTTTTTTGCTTCGCGGCCCTTTCTCTACATTTTCTCAAATATTCGACCCTTTTTTCGGGGTTTTGATTAATTTTTTGCCTGTATCTTCGCGACTTTTCAGCCGCAGTCAAAGGCATGTTTCTGAAAAAAGAAACATCACAAGGTATTACTTTTAAAAGGCTGGGAAAAGGTCATTCTTGCACATAAAAGTCATCTACGCTTCCCTGTGTCACCCACGTCACTTTATGATTGGTGGCGTAGAGGACCAAAGCGTAGGTGACATTTTTTAGAGTAATTATAAACATCAAAGCTAGAAGGTTGTCTATGGGCCTCTGTATTTTAGGTATAGATAGGTATTACACATATTTTGATATAAAATAACATATATAAAAAAACGCAGTAGTCTAACAAAACCGGTAACGAAGGTGACGAGTAATAAAAGTACGTACCTGCACCAACAGAATCACGTAGAATTTTCTGGAACAACGACAATAAATAAACCACCTACACGTTTCCAGTAGCAAAATAAGACTGATTCACTGCTCTAGTCAAGAACGTTTGACCAAAAATCATCCCCACCAATATTCCATTTCGTAAATAATAGTAAGTGGCGTAGATGACCCTTACCTTATGGGACACAATATCTAGTCTTAAAAACTAAACAAATTAAAAAAAAAAACTAAAATTTGATAAATTGGGTGAACTTGATGTTTACTCTATGAGTTTATAAGGTTAAACTTAAGAAACAGTGCAATTTACATTTAAAAAACTATTTTGCACATTTAGTTTCGGGTGAGGGACCGGTAGTGTAGGTGACATTATAAATGTTTGCAATTAAATAAAAATATATTTTATATATTTTTTACAATTTATTTTATATAAATGCGCTAAAGAGCATGATAGTTTTTAAGTGATGTCCTAAAAACTTGCAAAATATTATTATTTAAAAAAATATTTGGCCGGGACAGGTCATTTTTAAGTTAAATGAGACATACCCATATACAAAACAAATAATAATTTAAACAATAAGGAACGGTGGAACACTCAGTATATTAATATAGGATCTAAATTAACAAACGAAAGTAATATGAAAATGATATAATATTAAATTTACATTAAATAAATAAAATAATATTGACACCAAAAGTAAATTAATAAAAAAAACTGGAACAATGAATATAAAAACTGAAGGTCACACTTCTAGCAAATGTTAATACGGAAATGCAATTAAATAAACCAATGCTGTAAATGAAATGAATTATTACGGGAAGAAAATACTACGGGCTTTCGACGGGATTTTAGCATATCGTGGCTCACGGGACGGGCTCGCGGGGACCGGCCGTTTCGCCTGCTGGGTACTGTCTACGTCAGAGCAGATACCAAACGGTACGGGGCGAACGTTGGCTCGGGCACGGGAAAATACTTTTAATCATAACTAGATTCGACATATCTGATATAACTGTTGGCGGGGCGTCATTACTTACTATAATTCGGGTTCACGGGGTCGGGCTGACGGGAACAAAAGAGC